CATATTGTACTTTATATATAATATATATTATATATATATATATATATATATATATATATATATATATATATATATATATATATATATAATATGAACAGGCCCAAATGAATAAAAATAGAACATGCACAACCTCAAACGAACTTCTGTCAAGGAAATTAACTGAAATTTATGACAACAACCAAGATGTGTCTCCCACACACCGTGGTGATTCGGCATTAAAAGAATATACCCTTGATCTGTTCATAGGTTTTATTTCGTCAACAATGATAAAACAGCCCTGAATACATCACCAGATAATATCTATTGTTTGTACAAGATAAGAATCGCTTAAATACAGATGCCATAGTTTAAGTTACTCGAAATCGAAAAGGTCCTTCAACTGTGATTAGTGTTCCAACCTTAAAACCGTTTTTAATTTCAATACAGCGTAAGTAGGTTTATACAACAGGCCCAAAATGTAGTCGAGTTTTGTCCCCCTTCGCCTCTAGATACACTACTGTTTAAAAATTTACATTAAATAAATTTTTTTTTTTTTTTTTTTTTTTTTTTTTCGAAAAATTAACTGTATTTAAAGATTATTTGATGTCCTTCTCATCGAAGGTTTTTCTGTTCCATATTTTATCTGAAAGTAAAAATAAACTTTTTAATGCAACGCAAAACAAGCAATGAATTCACATTGACTTTTATAACTCGCACTCAAAATTATTGCAACTATCTAATAAAGTATTGACAAAACTGCATAAATTATTTGAAATTACCTACTATATATATATATATATATATATATATAATGTGTGTGTGCGTGTGATGTCAATTCGCTTCTTCTCTTCTGCTTGTGGAAGCTAAATTCGTAACCCTTATGCTTTAGGATTTTTCATCTGTACTTTCCATGCGTGCCGTGAAAATATTCTGATTGAAATTTTGCAAATAAGCAAAAATAACAAAGTTCGAAGAAAGGCAAGTCCGAAAAGCCGAAGAAAGTAAGATGCAAGCAAACAAGCTCCTTAAGTATACTGACATATTTACATAAAATACACATGAACCGTTTTTTTTTTTTTTTTTTTTTTCATCTACGTTCTGATTATTCCTCATTTCCCTCTTCACCTCCTTATGGTGATAAAGTTATCTGGTGGCTCTTACTGAGAACTAAATGAGATAAATTCTCTTCAAATCTTCAACCTCCCAGTTCTTATTGTATTTTTTACACAATTTGGTGGCTATCTTGGAAAGTCTCCTCTAAACTCAAACATTCCACTCAATATTCTCGCTAACTCCAACAATGCAATGGCTTGCGCATTCTAATTTCCTGCTCAGACATTCAACTGATACAATCTCTGGGGCCGATTCCAAGAAAATAAATTCTTTCAACAAGAGCACTAAATTCATGGTGGTCATCATCATTGCATCGCCTTGGTGTTTAGCTATAATGTCTGTTGTTATAATGCCCCCATCATCAGCAATATTTTTCTTGATTTACATGAAACGATAAAACACTAATTTACAATTTTAGAAAGAGGATCTTGTGTATGTTGTAAAACGGTATTAATGAAATTGCCGTCATTAAAACAGTTCAATAGATTTAAATATTTTGTAGATATTTTGTATGGTAAGTAAGGAGGGCAAGGAAAAAAGGGCCAGACTGAACCCGATGCAAAGTAGGCATGTACTTAGGACACCAAAGTGTGTGTGTGTATGTATATTACCCTCTGCCGGTTTTATGTCTTATAATGATCAGGTCATATTTGCATTAAGTACATATTGGTTAGTATAAAACACCCGTAAAATCCTTATTTCAAAGATGTACTTGTGGAACAAGGCCGAAAGGGAAGGGACTAGTCAACTCTATCATACTCCTAGCTAATCTGATCCACGATCCATTGACTCTAATAACTGACACAAAACCCCATCCCTCTTCACTCAATTCAAACTTGGACCACGATACCACATTTTTGCAGGGAACCTAATGATTATATTACATATAATTTACAAAAATATATAAAAATTTTCAATGTCATGAAAAGGGGAATAAAACCCCAGTAAAATGGTGGAGGAGAAATATTTATCCCATTTTATTCGTTAACTACTTGGGTAGGGGTCTTAAACAAAGAAATCCGTATTCATTTTTAGTTTAAAAGGAAAGGTTGTCCAATTGAAATTTATTTTGATTGAATATTGTAAGAGGTCTTCCATACTTAAATCGCCATATCTATCAGGCAGGATGAAATAACTTTTTTTTCTTGTCCTGTTACACTTTATTTCATTAACAGGCGTCGTTTTTTTTTTTTTTTTTTTTTGTTTGTTTGTTTTTTTTGTTTTTTTTAGCTAGTCTTTATATTTATTCATTTTTAAATCTGGTTTCAGAGCGATTGTACTACGCTTCGAAAGCCACTCTATTTTGAGAGTCATACTTAGATTCAACAACCATATTGAAATTTCAGAGTCCCACGTGCATTATACTTTCTGATCTCTCTGTACGCTATAACTTTGTTCCATGTATACATACGACACTTAACTTTAATTGTTATATACGCAACCATTTTTTTTCTTTTTTTGTCGCCAAACGTTATAATGTGGCGAAGATATAACGGACAGTTCTCGGTAAGACTGGACGTCACTTGTTTCCGGTAAAAATCTATTTTGAATCTTTAACAATCTCATTTAGATTTCATTTGCTGGAAAACTGTGATCCAATGCCCAAAAATTTATTTATTGCATTTCTGAATGATCTTCAAACATCTACAGACAGTAATAGTATTAGTTAAAAATAATAATTTCCTTTATCATTTATGGTATTATTTATTTAGTTTTCTTATTATATTAAATAAAGACTAATTCTTTTTCTTGTCTTATTTCATATATATCTATTTTTAATGTATAGTTTAATGTAGATCACATCACATAATTTAGTGAGGCGTTGTTCTGGTAGATCATACTCGGAAAGTAGATCCCATACTTAAGTAACACCAACCTCTGTTTACTTGAACCGTAAAACCAGTCTCCCACCATGTATCAACTCGACTGCCATCATTATTCAGCTGCTGACCATTTTGATACCTTGGACTTTAACTGAACAGAAATGAGAGAAAGTAGCATTAAAATAAATTAGTTTTCGTTTATCTACCAAACATGAAACTCTATAAAAACAAGAAGTTTTTCTTTCTCTTTTGCCTGGAGATAAATGCGGTACTTTTGTAAATTTTTGTTAAATTAATCGAAAACAATTTTCTCATGAGAAAAATTTCTAAACAAAAATATTTTAGTAACATGAGATAATAATGTCCAAATCAAGTGTAAATTGATCCTTATTTCACTTTTGCGCCAATAATCGTACTGAAGACAAACAGGTTGCTTTTTTTAAAATTGATTTTTAAGGTTTCCGTAAACTTTAACTTTTAGGATTTATCGAGTTTTGGGTTTTTTTTTTTTTTTGCTTTTCAACAAAGAATCTTGTATCAATACCAGTTGCGTTCTAGATTTTTTTAAAAATCTGTTTATGACGGAAAACACCAAGAAGAAAAATGACAAACAATAAAGAGAGAAAGTGAAATAAAATGAAAATATTAATGTTTTAAAACTATTTTTTAATCAGTAATAATTACTTAAGAATTACGCCCAAGAAATGATGGGTTGTTGTTGCCTGACGAAGATAAAAAAAAGAGGAAGGTGGGAGTTATGTTTGTCACAAACAATAAATAATGAAAAGGAAAAGAATTTATGGAAGAATCAACAAATCGTTAGGTGCCATATCCGCGTTTTCAGTGTCTATGCACATATCTGCGATTACGTCATCTATGATAGCATCTACACAAGAGGAAATTGTGACATACCGGTGCTTTTGATTTCATTGATTAGAAGTCTTTATAATAAAAGGAACATTTTTCACATTTAATGTCCTTGATTAGTTAAATTTGTAATTGCATTCGTATGAAATAGAAATATGCTTCCGTTATTTTCTGACGGGTTTAAATTTGAAAAAGAATAAATTAATGGGAGATTTTAAGTAATTGTATTTTATACATATATTTTTATTTATTTTTACCGTATTAATTTATTTGTTTTTGTTTTTTAAAGGAGATTCTTTTTAAGGATTAATTATTTATTTTGGTTACTTCTGAAATTGATTTACTCCAGTGAATAAACCCAATTCATCTTCCCCTTTTTTTTTTTTTTTTTTTTAGTTTCTCAGTTACTTTTCATTTCTTTTTCTCTCCTTTTTTTTCTTTTTCTCTCTTGCCCTTTTCTCCCCTTTTTCCTTTCTTTTTTTCCTTTTCTCCATTTAAAAGAAATATTCTTTAAAAAAAATACTTCTAAAGGAATAAAATGTTTATATAAAAATAGTTAAAATACCCCCTACACACATTTTTAGTATTATAACATGTCAAAAAATTCTTAATTGACAATTGTGGAAAAAATTCAAAGATATGAGACTATTGAATTTTAGGAATTTTTTGTATGTGTATGTATGTATGTATGTATGTATGTGAATAATTTATGATGAACATGTTCATATTATTTTTATTTTTTATTTTTTTTTATTTTTTTATTTAACGAATAATGAAATAATTTCTGTTCCAATGAGCTAATATTATGTTATAGCAAACAAACTGCTGTGCTTCTCTTGTAGAAGGAAAAGCTTCGAGCATCTGAAATGTAGCAGCAGCAGAAGCAGCAAGGCTGGAGCGACCTACTTTCACAATATGGCGCGCTAGAGATCAGGCGCTCTTGGGGACTACCTTTTTGTTTCTCCGGAAAAAAAAAGAAACAAAACAACAATTTTAATTTCCAGTGTGGATGCACCAAACTTTAAATTTTGGATGTAGAAAAATCTTATATTTTCCCCACTCTGTATTTCAGACGGGTGAGTGGATGCGAGTGGGCGTTACGGGTCTGTAAGTAAAAAAAATAAAAATAAAAAAAAGAAAGAAACGCAAAGAATTGTTCGTGCGAACGGACTTCTCTCCGCTTCTTGAAAAGCTGCCTTCAATTCATTTTACAAAACCATGGCAGCAATGCGAGATGCTGCAACAAGACAATTGGTTCTTGCGTTGATTATGGTCTTAGCAGCAGTTGCACTTTCAGGTAAGTTGACATTTTATTTATCTTTGAACCCCTCTTAATTTGTTTCTTGTAACTGTTTTGTTCTCTTATTGTTTGTTTCGCTTTCAAATCCGCCACTAAATTGTGCCTCCCCCTCGCCCGATCTAAACGCGTCGTCTGCCAGTTTCTCTTCCGCAACTCTGTCGGAATTTTGTCATTGTCACCTTTCTGCTTTTTAAGTCTTTATTTCCTCCATTAGATATGATTATTAAATAAGAAAGGGACTGTTAATTAATTAAATCGTTGTGTGACAGTTTTGTTTTCTTTAATAAGTTTTATATTTTTTTACTCAACAGTTTATTTTTGTTCTTTCTTCTGAATCGTTTTCATTCATTCCCTCGCAAAATAAACAAGTTTCTAGTTGTCTTGAGTTTTTTTTTCTTAAAAAATGTGTTGTGTACCTAAGAAATATATATCATCTGAGAGGTTGGTTAGTTTGAATTCAAAGTACTTTGAAAAATAATGGGTTTTTCTTTCTTTCTTTCTTCAGGAAAATATCGTTTGTTTTCATTGAAAAAATAAACCACGACTGTTATTTACTGGCGTCATGATCACATGATTTTGCGTACCTTAAATTCTGTTGCTTTAAAAGAAAATGCAACTATTACATACCTGTACACAGTTAATGTTACATTTTGCTTTAATAAATTACTATAATTGTTTATATATATATATATATATATAATTGTTGTGGTCTGAAAACATATCTTCATATCTGGATCAAAAAAGGAATAGATTGTTTTTGCTTTATTTTTTTTTTTTTTTAACTGATAACATCAGAACTACAGATTTCAGGTTCGAATCAAAGGAACAGTAGCCTGCTGTTCTTCGTCAAGTCTTTTAATTTACAGTTCTTTTAATGAACTAAAATAATTAATTAGGTTATATAATATATTTTGAAAAACTTTGGCACTTGTAGTGTTTTAATAGCTCACGAGATTTTTTTTAGCAAATTGTCATGTGATTTACTGTGACAGAAGTTACGATTCATCATAAATAATAAATTTATTTTAAACCATGCGAGCTTTTAAAATGACGTGACCATTGGCTTTCGATCGGTACATTATTCCGATTATTTGTGTGGCCCGTCGAAGATCAGTCCCTTCCAGCACTTCTGCTAAGGATGTGAGTGTAGTATCTGTGCAAAATATTACATACACACACTTGACTATATATATATATATATATATATATATGTGTGTGTGTGTAATCACTTTTTTTACAGGTATTACGCTAGCTCTTTAATAAGCTTTTGGATTCAAACCGTAATTGTAATTTATTTTGACTTAATTTATTGATATTTACTTGAATTATATATATAATGTTGCTGTCATGTAACAATGTTAGAAAAATCAAAAAAAAATATATTAAATTTATTTCTTTGAAATTATTTTATTACGTGGGGTAGGGGAAGAAATATATAAATGACTCTGTAAAATATTTCCCACACCACAAAAGAAATTAATAACCAAGCAACAGAACACTGGTGTATTGAATATCACTTGCCTGCTTACCTCGAGGTTGGACGTTCGAATCAAGATAAACTTGTTAATTTTCAATGTGAAAGTTACAGAAAGATTAACAAAAAGTCAAATAAAATAAGTTTACATTATTCAATGTGTTCATCAAATATTATATATATAAAAAGATAAACTAACTAGATTGTTGTTTACCTTGAAAATCTTGTAGTCGTGAGAGAGAGAATTAGGATAAAAATATTATTGTATTTATTAAAATAGAATTCTAATATATTTGTTAATGAATGTTATGGTTGCTGGAATTGAATGTGCAAAGCAAAAAGAATAATTCATGCTAATTGTGAGCAGGAGTCTAGTTTTTCTTTTTAAGCGATAGTTAAACGTTTGAAATACGAGATCGATATTTTAAGAACAGTTCAAAGACAGCAAACAGTCAATAAGTAAAATCTTTGATCACTACATGAGGATTAAGTAGCCGAACTACTGTAATGATAAACGGGAGAAACGCGATCCTGAAACAAGGCTAAAAAAAAAATGGAAAATTCGATTCTTTTTTCCGCGAAAAACTATATACCCGCAGAAAGAAAAAAACTGGTAAAAGTATGGAAGAGGTGCTGAAAAGTTCTCGGAACGACCCAGTTCACCCCTCCCACCTAATACTATCAGTGACCAAGCATTATTGATCTTGGAAGTGAGTCTTTCAACACAACCCTCGTATTATGTACTTAACAAAGAATGTTACGCTAAGAAGAAGGTTGACCAGATTTTTTTAGGCAAGCAATCTTTGTAATTACAATATTCAACCATATATTATTTAAAAATAATAATAAATGATTACTTATCTCTGCTCAGAGTTTCGCATGTTCTAAAATTCACTCATCGGGAGATAAAATCATATTCTTATAATAATCTTCTTATTAGAAAGAAACAGATAAATTGTTTCGTGCAAAAATTTAACAGTAGTAGACCATTATATTTCTGAAGGATAACGTTTTTTAAGGCAAGCAGTTATTGTCATTAAAGTGCTCAGCGTTAAAGCCTTTTTAATAGCAAATAAATAAAAAAATTAAAATTATTTATAAATAAAAATGTATCTTTCAATTCAACGAATCTCTGTGCATCTCTTGATCTGTTTCCCCACCGCCCCCGTTCTATTGCGCTACAAAATGTCTGTTCATATTTGTTCGAGCTTTTGTATGTAATCATTTATTTAGCAACTCTATGTAATGTACGTTTGTTATGACGAGAAATAGCCTGGTGTGGTAATGATTGAACTCGCTCGTCACAAGCAACAGTTTGCAAACACCGCTCTTTGACAAGCGCCCTCATTAAGTATGTATGTGCGCGCGTGCCCACTGAGAACGCTGTGTATGATCAAAAGATTAGACATCAACTCTATCTTCTGTGCAAAAGGAATTGGGGTTGAGAAACTACAGTGTTCTTATTGTTTACCTGCGAATCATTAGTGACAGCGCATAGATTTTTTTTTTTTTTTTTTTTTTTGGCAAACCCTGTCTTTCACACCTGTCTGACTATGTTTTTCTGTCTCCCCTTGTCTCAATCTTTTCAATTCTGTTCTGAACGAGGGGATGATGAAAAATTCTCGACCCAGCGTCTGAACAAATTTAAAAACATTAGTTTTTACTTTGGGAGGTGGGGGGGATTTTGTTCGGGCTGAGAATATTTCAGAACCTTGTATATTCCTCTTAATTAAATTTATTTCTTTTTCTTCTTGATTTGTACCTACATCGATACATATCCCCGGATCTGAAAATCGATAAGCATCTTCTCATTTACTGTCATTATTCCTTTTTTTACTATCAGTTTGCTTGTAAGCATTTATCGATCTATTTGATTATGTGTCTGCCTCAGCTGTTTCGTGTTCAAACCTAGGTATAAACCATAATTTTCAAAGTTAATTTTCAAGGCCGACCTTCTTCAGTCGCTCAACAGCTAGTAATCATGAATACATTGTACACCGGAAAAGTATGGAATACGTAGGTACATGATGTGGTAAAAGAAAATATGATAAAATGACACATGGTTTATCATTTGGATAAAGGTGTGTGTCAAACAATCCTGTGTGCTACCATTTTCATTTTTGGACAAATCTTTCACTACTCGAGCATTACAGCCAACCTACGATGATCTAAAAATAGCATAAGCCAAATCGTCACCGTATCGATTACTTGATCGTGGATTTTACAAGTATACAAATTTAACTTGCTATATAGTGGAATTGCTTTTATTTATGTTCAGTTTACTCCTTTTCTAGACTTGACTACAAACTTACACGTTTTAAAATAGGAATAAAAAAGATTAACCAACCAAAATTTAAAAAAAAAATCGATTTACCAAATCATTTAAATTTTTCAGGGTTTTTCGTTGATTTCGGTCTAGAATGTTAACTAATTCTTTAACACTTAGCCATAAAATCATTTAGTTTATTTGATCATAGTCATAGAGAATTACATTGGAAAAGAAGTGTTATTTAAAGTTAGAAAAAGAATCGCTGTAAAATAAATGTGCACATTTGATTTTTATTCATATCATATTCACATATAATCATTCTCCTTAAAAAGAAAAGGAAAACTTTTGATTATATTGTTGTTGAGTCATTTAATTAATTCTGAAAGAAAAACAAAAATCAAGTTTTGAAGTCTGGAGTGAAAATAACAATTTAGAGAGTTTAGTCTTTTTTTTATAAATCCAAAATCTGGAATTTTAGCAACAAGTGAAATGAAATTAAAACAAGTCTCGTGATTCGAATAATAAAAATTAATATAATGGCATCTCGCATCTGAAATAGATGGCTATTTTAGATTTTGACCCCGCCTCACTTTCGCCAATCTTCAGTCAGTTATGTGCCATACGTGGTACACGCTTAGGCGATCATGTATCTTTCGATACATGACTGACGAGGCAGTTTTTTTGTTTTGTTTTGTTTTCCCCGCCGTAGGTTGCCATTTCTTTCTGCGGAGGACCAGTTGCCATCTAAGGCTATAGAACCTGTCTGTCCTGCTATTTAGCAGGGGGGAAAGAAGAGGGTTCATACCTTTCCCAAAGGTATTAGTACGTAAGTGAATCTAATGGATTCGACTAGAACTCGGCTCTCCGATTCCTCAATTCAAGCCGCTATCTATTACTCAAACTGTTATTCCCTTGTTTGATTTTCCACTTACCCAAACGTATCCGGTTTTGTTTTGTTTTTTTTGTTTTTTTTTTATATTCCAACCTCTTCTCCCAAATTAATTGCAAATGGATTTTCCTACCTAACCTTTTATTTCGGACTTTAAGAGTAATAGATAAAGTTTTAGCATATAATTTGTTGTGGAAAATTATATTTAGCCATTTATTTAAGACATTTTATCTTATTTAAGACATTTTATTTAGCATAGTCTAAAATCGAAAACGAATTTGTAAAAAAAAAAAAAAAAAAACCAGAAAACATAAAGTAGATTCAACCAAAGTGTAGGTTATTTACCGAAAAATGTTAATCATGGC